GTTTGGCTATTTTTTTTCTATATATAATACTGAAAGGTCTACTCATCTACTCATCTACTCATAAATTGAAGAAGCAAACAGACACCAAACATATTTTGGTTGATCGAGCACGCTTGGGTCAAGGGAAAATAGTGTAAATTGGATTGTTTTGCCAAAGTGTTCCTTAACTACACTCTATGATTTACGGATTTGGTGGAAATGTGTAATTCTGCGCAGCATGAGGAAGAACATTTTGTAACATGAGTTACTTTGGACTTCTTCTCTGAGCAGATGAATCTGACTTTTGCGCGAGTGTTGAAAGAGAATTCAAAGAGAACTCAGTCAAAACTTGGTGAAGGATGTGTCCTCTGAGGATGCATTTGAGACCTAAACTGTGAGCCAGACCTTCTTTTTGAGCCTGTAAGTAATACTTAAAGACGTATAACGTGGTCGACCTGACGCCCCTGACTCCTAAATGACAAGTTCTGGCTTTACAGGGCGACTCGCAGAAGCACATTCATACCATATTTTAGCATGTTTTTCCTCCTGGCTCAGTAATGCCACTTCTTTCAGTTAAAAAAAAAATCTTATACAGTGCAACTTTAATCTGAATGCAATAAAAAAGCCCAAAAAAGCCGACCACATTTCTCATGTATAGGATTCTTTCAAAGATCTTCTGGAACAATCCACCCTTTTCTGTGGCTTTTAGATTTCAACCAGGTTCAGTTACATCGTCATAAAATGTCATTAGAAAATTAATGAAACCCTAATTATAATGAGAAGGTGCTGAAAACTGCAGACAACATGAACCAGTGCAATGTCATCGCTTGACTGACTAACATTGTTTTATGCAGCCAATCTACGGGAGTTTCAGATGCCTGTGACAAAACGTGATACGGCATTAAATGATAATCCCGCACAGAAACGTCTGTTTAACGACGGTAACTTGAAACACTCAACTGAATGGCCCACCTAGTGTACGCTGCACTAATCCACACTTACTTTCAGATAAATCAGTCAATGGGTGATTACGGCAGTGAAATTGGACATTTCAACACTCAAGATAGAGCTTGTAAAAATAATCGCTAGTCTGAATGCAGACTATTTGAAAGAAGCCCAGCTTCACTATAGAATACCACAGTTTGAATGATCACATGTGCAGCCTTTCGTAGCCCAGATTTAGGGACAGTATGTACTACAATGGCTATTTATTCACATTACAGGAAAGTAAAACCAGAACAGACTACAGCTTTAGATTAGAGGTCAACAGACAGTCATGTCCCTGTGCTGTATTGGTAAAAGACACTGGTTGTGTTAGCTTTTCTTTGTGGACTCTATTAGGTTGGGAAATATAGACAAGATATGGCCTGTTACTGATGATCTCTTACACCCATGGACGGATTTAAGGATTTTGCAAATACTTGGGGCTCTATTAAAGGAGAATTCCACTCACTTTTCTAAATTTCTGCCTAATGAAATCATTGAGATGTAAACAAGTCATTCAGACTGGTTTGATGTGAAATGCTCAGTTCTAGAGAAACTTACTGAAAGAGATTTGTTTCACAGTGGTGGTGACAGGAACCAGATGCCTGAAGACTAATGCCTCTAAAAGTTCCCTCACAGACAGTTATTACACAAAATTGTTATGGATACGCTGCCTGATGCCCGAGACTGTGTTTTACTATAGTTCTGCGGTAAGATTTTTAAAATCCATTCATGGTGGAGGGATACATACAGGGTGTTGTAATGCAAAATAGTTCCCAAAGAAAACATTTTTTTTTTCTGATTCAGCACCATTTCATTGTACTCATTACATATAAGAACTCAGAAGACACACATAGGTGACTATGTCTACATGACTACATTTGTGTTAAAGACATTGTTTTAGACCATTAGACCATTTAAGACCAAAGTTGAGTCTAATAGGAATGTCCCTCAGCTCTTTTTCTACTGGACAGGCCTCACTTTAGGCTTAATTAACCTGGCTAAACTCAGAAATCCTGCATTGTTAAACTCTTCCCTGGTTTCTATCACCACAAAGAAATTCAAGTCATGAACTTCCTCTGCAATTTCACATCAAACCCCTCTGGAAGACTTTGTTTCCATATAAACGATCGAATAAGGCAGAAATGAAGAAAAAATATTATCAATATTACATGGAATAGTAAAGTACATCCTGAAGCGCTTTGTTTTTTTTAGTTTTTTACTTCTATTTTGTGCACTTTCCTCATGGCCTCCAGACTTTGATAGGTAACTGCAGTGTATATCATTTACTAGGTGCTTCAGACTGTTTTGAAAGTACAATTTAAAATCTGTAAAAAATAAACAGTAAGTTTCCTTTCTGGAATTCTGCCTGGTTGATGTTTACAATACTGCATTCTCTTTGGTGTAATTTTAAGAGAGGAAAGACATTCTTTTAGCCTAGAGTAACAGCACTCAGGAAGCATGGGGTCATTATCTTCATTAATTCAAACTTGAGTAACATCAGACATTGCGATTTGTTCAGAGAATATCATCATTTAAATTTTAGCAATATTGCCCAGCACTAATGGGGCTCTTGGCAATTGCCTTCCTTTGCCTTGTTAACAGTCCATCCCTGTTTAACCTATTTTGTTGTCATAAATTAATTATTCTCAGAGTCTACACTGATGTGTAAATATAATTCTGTGGCTAAAAAATACTATAGAATAGTCTACAAGCAGATTTGCAGCAGTGTGTTTGACCTACGCCATAACTGGATACATGAATAAACTGGACTGAGCAAGGGCCTAATAGGCCTAATAAATGGCATGTTTCTGTATCTTTTAGTGTAGTTTTCTAAAATCTCCACCCTAAAGAGCATAAAACTGCACCAAAGCTTAGCTCTCCTTTGATCTCCACTCTTACATCTTCCAAAGCCCCCACAGCCAGCATGGGACATAACGGCAACAGAGGGTTTCTCTAACAGGCTGAGAATGCTTAGCAAATCACAGCCCACATGCACATATGCCGGCAAGTAAATTACTTACAGAACTTACACAGTTAACCATTTCATCGCTACTAGAACGCGTGTTACAACTGACTGTTTCTGACCAGTGGTTAAGCTACTTAAGACAAAAATACTGGTGGGGATTTCCTATTCATTGAGAAAACAAACACCTAATTGTGATATCAGCCTCAAACCTGATTTACCACTTAAACAAGAGACATGCCATCTAAGTTCATGAGCTAATGGACCAAGTCCTACACAAAATTCCAGATAGCAGCCGTGTTTTTTCCTAATTCACTGCTTTGCACCATAACCAGTAACATTTTCATTACCTTGAGTTGTGTTAAAGTGAACTATATGTCCAAAATCTTCTTATTCTTATCTCCTTATTAGAGAGTTTGTACCCCCTTTGATGTCGGAACACTGCTGTGAGGATTTGATTGCATTCAGCCACAAGAGAATTAGTGAGGTCAGGTACTGATGTTGGGTGATCAGTTCTGGATCACTTCAGCTCATATCAAAGGTATTGGATGGAGCTTGATCACTCCACAGCCCAACGCATTTGGCACGGTGATCTTAGGATCCTGTGTGGCTGCTTCAGAGCGTCCCATTCTATTGTTAATGCTTTTCTATGGGAATAACACAAGCTGAGTGTGCGCAACTGTGCGCAATCCGTAATAGGTCTTTAAAGAAGCATTTCATATTCAATTTCTTCAAAATGTCTGCATAATTAACTAGGATGCAAACAAAATCATTCAGCTTGGTTTGATGTGAAATGTGCCGTTCTTGTGAAACTTGCAGTCCGAACTGTTCAAAGCAGTGGTGGTGATGGGAACCAGACGTCTCAAGAGTTTAATGCCACTCAAAGCTCCATCGCCTATCAAGTCCTTACATGAAATGGTTACGAATACACTGCAACATTGTTTTACTATAGTCTTAAGAGAAGACTTTGGCCTTAAACATATTTTTAATCCATTGGTGTTTGAGGGACCTTCAGGGTGTTGTAAGGCAAAACAGTCCACAAAGATTACGTAACTTATTTATTTACGATTTTCCACTATTTCACAATTACATACACAAGCACAGATGTGTAGGTTCCCTTGTCGTCTGTGATGATAAATGATATGACTATTCAAGCTGGCAGTCTTTGGTTCTTGTCGCTCCCACTGTAAAGAAATCAGAGTCTGCAGCCGCACCGATCCACAATAAACCACTTACATTGTTTACATCTCCACCACTGAATTATGCAGATGTGAAAAATGTGAGGAATTCTCCTTTGAAGAGGCTGAATTCACTAATTCACTGTGGACATGCTGTGTACATTTTACCATAAGGCTGCTTTCAGAGTTTGACGTTGGCGACCACCAGACTGCAACAGCCACTAAACAAAGTGGAGTAAAAACTGCCAGGACGGCTAAACCAGCCACAGTAAAACACAACAGGTCCGTTTTTAGTAATAAAGCGCTTAGAGACTGGGTGTGTATCAGCTGTGCTCGCTAAGCAGCCGCTGGTGTTTTCGAAAAACATTTGTTTACGAAAAACAGTTGTTTACAAGGACTCCGCTGTACAACTTCCGTGACTTGGCGCATGTCACGTTAGCTCGCAGGCTAGCTACAGTGATATCCCACAGCTGTTTCAGCGGCTAAAAGGTCAACACGAGTTCAGTCGACCACTTTATTTCGTACCCTGCAATAACTCGAACATATACAGCTATATTCACATTATGTGTTCGAGGCTGAGGTCAGACTTATTCTTCGAATTGTCCCGTTCCACCTTAAATGGTGCAGCCCGAGGCGCCAGAATGTAACTGCTGCACCATTTAAGGTGGAATGGGGCAATTCGAAGAAGCTGCTGGCCACTGAGAAGCTGATTCCAGCCTCGTATCATGTGCCCCCTTGGAAAAAGTCGACTAAAGCTGGCTGAGGCAGCAGAACCTGCGCTGGACCAGCTTGTATACTAAACATGGTGCTCGGCAGAGATTAACGTTAGAGTTTGGCCTGAAGTTCGACATGGAGTAATGGAGCTAGCTAGTCGGTAAGAGACAGTTTCTCACCTCGTCCACGATGATTGTCTCGGTGGGACTGACAGGTCCAGCCAGGTACAGAAACAAGCCCATTCTGCAAAGGCCACCTAGCTACAACATTCACCTGTCAAAACGCCGAGTCTGGTCAAAGCTCAGGCATTTACATACAAAAATAAAGGCGCTCTGTCTGTTCATTACTCGTGTCTGAAGCGCAAAAGGCAACCACATGCGCCACCTTCCTGCTGGTTCATCATTGGACCGCTGTGGGAGGAGTAGCATTGGAGCTACGCGCTGCTCCAGCTGTTACACAAACCGCGGTCACCTCCAGCGCCATGTGCGCAACGTGAGGGGGAACAAGCTGAGAAGCCCCGCCCACAAAAGCGCACTGAGCTGCGATTGGAAGAGAACCGTTCAGCTGGTGCGGGACGGCCAATCAGAGGCGGATGATTTAAATTGTGCAGACTGGTTAGAAAAAAAGTTGCTTTTTTTTTAGGAAAATGTCTAAGGCGAAGGTGTACAGCACCATGCACGAATGAAAAATAATAAAGAAAACAAGGAAATAAATACTATAAAGTAAGTTATTATTAGTAATATATTATTAGGCAGAGGAGTGTTAGCATTGCCTTTAAAGGACATCTACAAAACAAAGTGCAAGTGTTTTGAACGCAAGACAATGTGTATCTAAGGCAGAGATCTACAAGCATGCATAATAAAAGAAAATGAGTAAGCAAGCAAATAACTTAATCAGCTTTAAGCGCAAGAAAAAAACATCTTCCCAAGACAACAAAACAGGACGCATATCTGCAGCAATCAATCAATCGATAGATAATAATAATAATAATAATAATAATCACGTTTTAAGAGAAACAAAAGGTGCACCTAAAGCAAAGATCTGTAGGTATGTTTGTACAGCTGTATGGAAAAGTTTGAGCACATCTGGCCAAACTATATATTTACATGTTTAAAGCAAACAGAAGACTTTTAAAACAAAGAAAAATATGAGTTTGGTGCAGAGGCTGTGCCCAAACTTATGCATGCAAGTGTATTTATTTCTAAGTCAATAAAATATATAACAGGCAGAAAGACCTGGCAAGTAAACTACAAAATGACTGAAGTTGAGTAAACACAAAGTTTTAAAAAGTATGTGTGAACAAACAGCCACAACGGTGGCAAAGCAGTGGGGCCTTTTTTTTGGACATTGTATAGATTAGTCACTTGAACAAAAAAAATGAAAGTATCCAGACATACTTTGTAGTGATTTATTATTCACATTCAGCATTACTTTATCAAAAGCTGTACATTCTAAAACATTTCCCGACAGCACAGTGCAGGTGCTGATGATGCAGTACAGTGCTATGATGCAGTCTGTCTAGGAAACACAGGTACAATAACCAAAACATAACATTATTCCTTCATTCAACTTGCATCCGTATGATTTTTCAACATCCATATGGCCATTAAAATTATATAAGTTAATACCAACTAGCGCAATAAATACATACCTGAAAGCAGAGTTACAAAGAGAGGTGATGTAGGGCCAGTTTCCACTTTTCCATGATTTAATTCATAAGGATATTTACAGTAAAAAGGGTTCCTAGATCAGCTCTCAGCACTCTGAGGTTCGGTAAGCAAAGCTCATGATTACTACGTACATACTTTTAAAACAAAGCATAAAAGTAGTTCTCAGCCTTAGTGTATGGGTGATCCATGCATTACACCTTTGTGTTTGACATATCTGATGGGCTCAAGATATGACTGACGAGTTTAGTCAGGTGTCTTTGAGTAGTAAAAACACTAATAAGTGTCATTTGGCCTCCATGACTGGCACTGAAAAACACAGCATCACAGTTTGTTTAAAAATTGCACTTTTCTTATTAGCTGGTAGAAGCTGCCCTAGTTCTCACAGGGCCAGACGTGATCATGTAATGATATTTTGGGCTAAATGTGGGTGGGAAAGTAGACTTTAGGGTGTGAAGTATGTAAACCAATCCAACAACTTGTGAAGTCGGAGCTCAAAGTAAGTTGAGATGGTGCGCTCCATAATGTCTGGCCCCGTGAGACTAATGCTGCCCTCGCCCTTCCATACCTTTTTGAGAGCAGCTCCAGTGTTCATATTACCAGCTGACCTACAGAATGACAACCTGCCCTGTACAGATGTATCATCTTTTTGTCTGTATTATTCCCATATATAGCTTTGCTTAGATTTTGCTTAATGCAAAATTCTTACAGTGGAAGAAAGCTAACAATGCTAACAAAGGAGAATGGTTTGTAATTTTATTGTATCAGGATATTTTTGAAATTTTTTTCTCTGTTTTTGCCTTCTGTCCACATCAAAACAGAGGCATTTTTGAAAACCGTTTTCAGAGTTTTTATGTGGATGAGCAAAACACAGTTTTCTGAAAACGCTGATATCATGCAGATCATTTGTATGATAGTGTGTTTATAATTGAATTTGGCTTTTCTTATTTCAGAGGCTTCAGAAAGTACTTTCTGGTAAATGCAGTGTCACCTCAACTAAAAATATTTTTTTAATATGGTATCTCTCAATGATTTTAAAGATATTTGACTAATGATCATTAACTAAAGTCAGATTTGAAATAAATCCTTAATCCATTGTTTAATCGGAATAAAAAGTTACAAAAACTCCTCTAGAAAAAAGCCTCTCAGTCTGATCAGGACTATGTGGATGCTTCAGAAATGGTGGCACAGCCATGGCAATGCTAACAACCCCATGGTGAGCAGTAGCTTTAAAGTAGGTAAAAATCTGACTCTGGATCTTTTTAAATATTGTATTATTAAGGGCTGATGGCCTGCACGTCAAAATCTACTGTATTACTGAACACGCTGCCATCATGTTATCAGAAAATCTCTGCTTTAGCTTCAATTGTGCTCAGTGTGCATGCTCACAATGTTCTTCTTGAGGTGTAGGACAGGGGTGTTCAATGTTATCCTCAAAAGGCTGGTGTGGCTGCAGGTTTTCACACAAAATGAGCTGGAGCACACCTGATTCCACTTGTTTATTCTTGTTTCTGTCTTCAAAACTGCTGAGCATGTGAGCTCCTGCTTTGCTGGAATGAAAACCTGCTGCCACACCTGCGCTTTCTGGAGAAGATCAGACACCCCTGCTGTAGGACATCAAATGTTATGGGGTATCATCTCCCACTACTGGGCTCGCATGGTCATGCAAGCGTTTTTGAGCAGTCTGTGCGTTCTTGTGTGGACACAGATTTTCAAAAATGCTGCCGGTGTGGACGAAGATTCTTTGAAAACAGAGGGAAAAAAAATGTGTTAAAAATATCCAGATACATGTGGGCAAGTCCTAAGGAAACTAATACTGCAACAGTTTGGATACTGGTGTATTTGAATAGCCATACTCAGCCCCAGCAGCATCCGGCTACCAGTCTCTTTCATGAGGTGCTCGGTAAGGTATACCCAAGTGCTGAAAGACTTCGTCCTCAGTCAGCGTTCTCAGTGGTCTCCCTGGTAGCACTTTAACACCACGGTTGCGCACCACATCACAGTTCAGCGAGTGCTCCGACAGGCTCATGTTTTTGGTCTTTGCCAGGGCACGCATGGAGCGGTTGAAATGGGCAGAGCCGGTGAAGTAAAGCAGGGCGCAGGCAAACTCTGCATGTGGCACCACGATGATGTCCAGCCTTCGGTGACGCTGGCCCGGGCCTGGCAAGTGGCACACACCCATATACTTCTTTTGCTCGCCGTTCTCCTCGTGGCTGACCAGGTCATCAGTCAGGAAACCTTAAAGGTTCAAATCAATATGATCAAGTTTTCCTGCAGACCAAACAAAATTAACATGGCAAGTAGTGGCGTAAATTTTTCACCTCAAGAACTAATGAGAATACAATTCTTTACGAAACGATTCAATGCCAACCAAAAAGTGACTGGAGACACTACTTACAGCAGTGGAATAAAACAATGGAAAAACATTATGGACAAAATAAAAATTAAAAAAAAAAAAATAAAAATTGGAGTGTGGGCCTGCCACCGCTACAGAAATAAAATCTAGAGGAAATACTGCAGTTTGTCAGAACTAAGAACTGAATACAGTAATCAAATAAATCCACTGAATGCAGAACTAATCACTTGTTTTGCCAACACAGCAGGAACACCAATGCTATCACAATAAGAGCCCCACATAATTCAACTGTTGCACGCAAGTTTACTTGATTAAATTGAACACCGTTTGTACTACTATCACCACCACCACCACCACCACCAGTATTATAATTATTATTATTATTAGTATAGTAGTAGTAGTAGTAGTAGTAGTAGTAGTAGTATAGTGTTGTAGTTGTGGACTGCGGTGACTGCTAATAAAAATGGACTATGACGCACTTAAATTATAGGACGCTTCTTCACTGCATTTTTTCTTCCAGCCCCTTTGGAGAAGATCACCTCACTAATGCCCCCCAGGTAGTTTGAGTTTGAGACATCTGCTTTGTTGAAATGTATTATAGTAAATTACCTTTAAAAAGAACCTTTTTTAAAGAAACTCAATGTAATGTAAGATCCTATTTCAATTAATCCCCAATAGGTTATAGGTTTTCCTAGAGCCATACAAAAGAACCATAAGATCCATTCAGAAACCTTTATATTTCTGGAAAGTGGACACTAAGCAAAGAAAGCCAGTGTTGTCAGTTTGCATGGCTGAATCCAAAATGATTCCCAATTAGAGCATAGTATGTGTAGTTTTTTTTAATGATTAATTAAGCTGATTAAATGATATTTATTTTTCAGCCCTTACCCAGTACTGATGTTTGAAGCAAATGATCTAAAGAAATCAGTACATAGCAAAGCTTCTGTTTATTAAGAATGAGATTTAATAGTGAATGTGTCGTACCATCGTTGTGAAGGATGTGGAGCACTTTGCTGAAGATGCCCTTATGTGAGGTGCCATCCGGATGAGTTATGAGCACATCCACGTCTCCACAAGTGGTCTTCCCACGGCGGTACGAGCCACACGCCACCACCAGCAGCTCCGGGTTCACACTGTGGGCCGCCGCCCTCACCTACCAGTCACAATCTGCACTTACATAACGCTTATCCATATGGAAACACTCTGCACTCATGTTCAGCTCAGCAGGACAGACAATGGGAGCTATTACAACAGATAGTTAATGATTACTCTTTATTGCAAACCACAAAAAAGCAGACTGTGTTGAAATGCTAAAAAAAAACAAAACAACAAAAAAAAACAACACAACAACAACAACAACAACAACAACAACAACAACAACAAAAAGAAAACCACACAGTATGTACAGTACTGTGCAAATCAGAGACCACTCTTCATTTTTTAACTTCTGGTCAAAAAACTCAGTGAGTACAAGTTATTCACTTTTCACGATTACATACAAGACAATCCACTTGCATAGGGAACAGGAAAGTCATGAAAGCCAGGGGAAAATACATCAGTTTTTCCAAAACTGGGGTTCAATAATTAATAAAAAGATACAGAGAACATGGGACTCCTAACAACTTTGCAAGACCTGAGAGACCACCAAAACTATCACCATCAGATAAGCAGTACTTAAAGCTTTCGTCTTTAACAGAGAGAGAGAGGGAGGAGAAAAATCAGGCTCCACTCTTTCTTCAGATCTGAATAAATCTACAGGTGTTTCTGTCCATCCTGTCACTGTGAAGATAACTCAAAGCCATAGATCATTACAGAAAAAATGTAACCGAATTCTCAGACTGAACTTTGGAGGTGTGGGAAAACATCCCTGCAGATCTCTTTGAAAAACAAAGCAAGTCTCCTGAAAAGAATGGAAGCTGTAATAAAGGTAAAGCATGGATACACTAAATACTGGAACATAATGGTATTATATTTAGTCATTTGTAATTCCTGTTAAATTTATGCTTTCTGCTTTAAATAACTTGAACATGATGGCCATTTTGACCAGAAATGCAATAAATGAAGGGTGGTCTCGGACATTTGAACAGTACTTTATCTCTTCCCTTTTAAAAAAAAACAAAAAACAAAAACAAAAACAAAAACTTAAGACCAATCCCAGGAAAATTTGCTTAACTTAAATCCAGATTAAAAACAAAGATGTTCAGTCTAAGACAGGGCTAGTTTACCGGGTCTTTCACTTTTTATTATACAATTTGTAATTGTGATTTTTTTTTCTTTATGTAATTAACTGTTTTGCTAATCTTGTGTTAAAGCACTTTTTAATGTTATAACCAAAATGCAAAGTGCTTCATAAGTAAACATTAAAATGTTTTGTAGTAATTTTCTCATGACATGCAAAAATTATTATTACATATTACTTGCCCGTGATGATTAAAAGAAAACGTATAACCGCTATCATAACTAAATGGCACAGAAACATTGAAAGAGACAGAAAATTAAGCGATGTTGGTCATTTTAAGTAATTTCTGTAGGCAATATATGTAAAAGTTATCAATTTAAATATGATTTAAGCTCTGGCTCTGGAGATTTGACGTTCAAACGCTCCACTCTCCCTATGCTGCGTTCGTGCCTTGCCCTGTAGCAATTAGGCTCTGAGCTCGGTTGAGGCTGAGAGGTTGCATGCACTACATATCATCCTGTCAGAGCAGGAGGACACATGCTATCCTCATCTTCTTCATCTGTGCTTTCTATCTGGCTGAGGGGGGAAACTGGAGTAATACTATAAGAAAACAACTGGCTTCGGTCCTGGCCTCAGCGAGCTTCTGACTAATGATGCGCCAACTTTCAGCTCCCTTTCCCCTCCTTTTTCCTCAGGGAGGACGGACACACTCACTGCTTCTGGTTTTGCCATCAAACAGACAAAGAAGATTGACAGCCTCACCAACACAAACTTGTTTTTACATTTTTTTTTCTTATTGCTTGCGCATTACATGTCCAGTTTTATTATTGAGGACCGAGAAATACACCATATAGTTTTAGGATATTAATGGCTCAACATGTTTTGATGTCACAGGCTCAGTTTAATAGGATAAGTATGACTATTTCCTTTATAGTTTGGCTTTATAGTAAGCCCTTTACTATAACTGTGCTCCATAACATGGTTATAGTTATAGGCGTGTGTTGTCAATCGGGTTATGATGAGGGTACGAACCGTTTTCTCGATGGCAGCAGCCTCGCTTCTTGGCATCCGATCAAGGAAGTCATCATAGTGTTTCAGGCCGATTCTTAGAGTGTGGTTCAAAGTTGCCTTGGTGCGAATGTCCTCCAGTGTACGAAATCCCTAAAATCATAAGAACAATACAGATTTCTTCAGATGAATTTTAAAACATGCATCCTTGATTGACACCAACAGCCATTCAAAACAGTAGTCAAGAATCAAAGCACAGATTATATTTACTTACTACTATTTACTTATATTTATGTACTTTATGGGGAAAAAAGTCATTTTTTTCATAATGGCTATTGGCTAACATCATTAAGATGACCTTCAGCACACTTCTCTTGTTGACACCAAGTCTTTGCACCATGCTGTGCATTAACATGTTTAACATAAAAGGTTCAGTCACGGTTTTAGGTATAAATTACACACATGCATGTGTGCAGACTAGTCTAAACACTGGTGCTAAAGTAGCTATAATTAACTGTTAAAAAATTATATATATATATATATAGAGAGAGAGAGAGAGAGAGAGAGACACACACTGACACAGTTAATATTAGTTAGATGATGTTGAGTGAGTCCACTGAAGCCCAGAGCTTCAGATTTGTAAGGCAAAATGAATACCCTTCTACCAAATGTAGGGCAATAAAGATCTCTCTTCATGTCTTTAAACTCCCTATGCATACAATACTTTACTGGCACTAACCAATCTCCTGCCTATGGGTGACGATTTTACAGCAGTGACCAACCCATATCACATGTTTACATGCAAGGTTTGTACTCTTGCATATTATACCACCTACACAATCCATAGCTTTACAGCCTGATGATCTACCTGAGCGGCTTTCCTTTGTGGATGATATCACTCTTTGCTTGTATGGACTCAGTTACAATAATATTGTAGCATTAATAAAGCTGGGTAAAATATAGACATGCTGTCATGCCTAACCAACATGAAAACAGAAGCAGGTGCACACACTGGCAGTATTAATTGTACACAACTGCTAGCTTAGTGCTAATATGACACGGGTAATCTTAGACACAGGAATTACCATGATAAATGAAGGACACTTACGCTATGAAAGTTTCTGCATTACGCACTGCTATATAATGATGTGTGCAGGTGGTATAGCATAGTGGATAACAGTGCTACATATCATGTGGGGTTTGATTCCCCACCCAGGCAAGCACACCATGCCATACAAATAAAGAGTCCTTCAACAAGACTCCTACTACTACAGTCGTCTACATTTGTAACAGGTTAAAACCCGTTAAAAATTATCATGATTTGCTAACATTAGACCAAATCTGGAAATGCAAAGCAATGATGTACGCAAATTAGATCAGGCAGCCACGGAAAGCATATGAGCTTATGTTGTATTGACACCCAGCAAAATATGAAAATTTGTCAATATTACAAAATGCCTTCTGACAATAAAATGGCAAAGGAAAAAAAAAAAAAGAAAAAAATCTCCATCCATCTCACTTGTTGATACCAAAGCTGGGCTGTCTTTGCACCAGCACCCCAGATGTTGGTGAACATCTCCAGGACAGGCACAGCCTCCCCAAACTGGTCCAACTTCCTCAGGTGCCCACTGTCCATGATCTCCACAATCTTAGTCGCCATGCTTTTGCCAATGCCTGGGATTTGATACGCTTCCTGTCAGCAGAGAAACAATGGCAGAGGAAACATTCCATCAGTGATTTATACTATTCAGATTTTGGAATCACTTGCTATATTAGCAAGATTTGCTATTTTATACACAATAACAACTTGCACACAATATATATCTAGGTGTTTTATGGACTATTTCAAGTATTTTTGGAACTAAAATCATGACAATATACTGTAATTATTTATTTGCCTTGTCACTCGTCACCTCTTTGAGATACAAAAATTTCACGTTCACTTTATAAGAACTTTATTCTTGGTGTTCTATAGCTTTCTCAGTCATTTGCTACGGCTCTGTTGACCACTAAAACCTGTCATGTTGCACATGGCTAGCATATTAGAATAATGTATCTGCAATTTAGCTTTATATTATTGAAGGCACTGATTCCATCTGAACGAGAGTGCATTTCTGTTACTATTTTAATTTGATCTTTTGGTAACCAATACCAAAAGCATGTGCTATAACACTGAAGTAAAACACAAACAGTACTGTAAACTCTAGATCATTCAGACTGACCTCATATGAAGAGACAGGCTTGTGGTAGCTCTTGAGGGCATTAACAGCTTTAGAGTAGCTCAGGGCTCTCCACTTGTCCCCTGTGTGGGTGTAAACTTTGGATAACTGCTCCAGCTTGTCAGTAATGTGCTTGTTGTAGTTCATGCCCTTGGCTTCAGACGATTGGGCGCAGACCCACTTCCCCGGTAAAGCAGGCTTTTCCGTCACATTCTGGGCTTCGTCTGGAACACCCACTTTGGGTTTAATTCCACGGACCAAAGCATCCAAGTCGTCCTGTGACACACCATCTTCCTCAAGATGTTCATCTTGACTCTCCGGCACCTGTGGGACATCATGTAGAAAAGTGTGGAACGTGTTTATCAAACCTAGGACCTAAGATCAGGTTTTTCCTTTCCTGATGAGAACTTGAGCGGCAAGTGTTCATTCAAGATCAGCACTAATACTTTGAGACTATGTCAACTATTTTGTTCTTGCACTTCACCTCCAAACACAATGCTTCTAATTCGTCTAAAGCAAAATTAAACAAAGGCACAGAGCAACACCAATAAGAAGCCCTGCTGTTATGAAGCACTGAATTCTCTGAGTGCTAATAACACTTTTAACAGAGAATCTGGTCATTTAAACAGGAGTGTTCAAACTTGTGCACACTACTGTACGAGCCAGGTCCATGAGGTGCTTTGCATCTAAAAATGTTTAATTCTGTTTCTTTTACATAAGCTATATATAGGTCTAATAATTAAAATGTAGTTCTAGAAAGTTACAGAAATTAGACCCAGCTGTGGTATTTGTATTGTTTACATGCACACAGGCTATGGAATCTTTTTGCTTGTGAACCAGTAAGTTGTTCAAAAATATAGCCATCAGACAGCCTTTATTTATTCACCAGAAGTATTTAGAATATCATAAACAGTTTAAGCGCACTACATATCAGGCTATCTATGCTCTCATAACTAATAAGCAAGCCAGGTTACCTATCTAAAGCATAATGAGGACTGTGTTAAAATATATATTTATAGTAAACTCAATCTATCTTGGCTGGAGACATTACAATGCAGCCATAGCTAAATCCTTCAGTCACTAACAGTCAGCTCTCGAGATGCTGCACAGCATGCGTAAAACGATACATTGCAGGAAAGTGCGCAAAAGACTTCAAGGAAAGACAAATAATAAGCTAGATCAAGTTCTTGTGACATTGTGTGCTACATGGAATGGGAAATAACATTATTAACTGGGCACACTTCAAATGAACATTTCTGTTCTGGAGCAGTTAAGGATGATTATTTTTTCAGTTTCATTTTTTTCTTCCTAGCAGAACACCATTAATTTACAGTTTCCGTTTTCCGTCACTCAAACCTGTTCGTAGCCCTGCTTGAGACACTTGATGAACCAAAAAAGCTAGAAAACATAAACAACTAACGGATTCTGCAGATGGAGGTAATTTCCCCTTGTTTACCATCTCTGCTGGGTCATCTTGGGCTGTTTTGGGATCAGGCTGTAGTGCCGTTTCCTCAGGAACTGAGGTGGTGCCCAGCATACTATCTTTTGGCTCTTCAGCAGGAACATGCTGAGGACTACAGACAGAGCTGATGTAAATTGAACAGAACATAGAAAGTATGGTGACATTATATTTATTTGTAGACTGATACTGTACTTTCATTTTCCACATATTTGAAAAAACAACTCATGCATGTTCTAGTAGAATTTTAAACAGCTGTATCAGCACTAAACTCAGCAGCTATATTAAACAATAAAAAGACTGCATTTAAATATGATGCACAGACATCAGCTGATCTCTGTATGTTCCACAGGTCATACTGCATATTACAGTGTAACTTCAAAGCAAGAGCAACATGAAATGTGCTACTGAAGCTTTGGCTTTTCTAGAGAGAACTGCTAGCAAAAAACAGAGAAGAATTGTATGCATTTTTTGAGGACCAAAGAGCTTTTTTTCCCAGTTGTTGTCAATGCTCACTGTTTTTGTGTGCTGAGCTTGTTTTATCTGCCTTGTGCGACTGTCTTTTGTGCAGAGTCCCCCGAGTTGACAAAAGTAGTTAAACTTGAAGCAATAACATACCCTACATTGCTTTTTGTTGACCAGTCAGATCAAAGGTAAGGAGGGCCAGTGCAGAGGTCAGTTTTAGGTAGGAACCATTAGTTTTAAGTTTCCTTTAGGTTAGACAGCAACCAGCTACTGTAATAAACTGCCCCAGCAAGTAAGTGTAGTAGGTCAGTCTGAGGTTGTGTTTTATATCAGGAATGTTACTGTAATGCACCAAAAAGTCTTTTTTGGGAGAAAGAAGAAAAAGAAAAGGGATGAATGAATGAATGAATGAATGAATGAATGAATGGAATTAACATTTACGTTGTAATCAAGACCCTATCAATTCAAATGTAGACTATTTAATTAACTTTAAGGCTTAACATTTATTAAATTTAAGAAATACAACTTTTTAAAGAACTTTAAGAAGACAGGCAGAGTTTACGAAACATGAAAACATGCTACTGAAAGTTTGAAAAACTTTTCCCACAGTCACTGAGCAGTGTGGCGACATGACAAAGAATCAGAACCTGAATGGTCCTCTTGTGTCTATTCAAAGTGCTGATTGGCTCGCAGAAAGAACCTTAAGGAACTAAGTTAGAATTTGACTTTGGAGATAGAACCTTTTTGTTTTCTAGATAAAGAGTCCAAAAAATGCTACAACCTAAAAACAAACAAAGTCGCCACAGAATAAGCAAATGTGAATAACTCAATTTTGACAAAAATGTCAGACAGAACCTTATAATTCCAAGAGGATTATTTGATTTCAGGTTCAAAACAATTAATCACAGTCTGCTGGTTTGCCATGGTGTGTAGTGGTCTTGACTGTGAAAATCCCATGGAGATATATATATCTTGCTCTTAAGGGCTCCTTTTTTGTGATGATGTCAGCTGTTTGCTATTGCGAACTAGAATTTAGCTGGAAAAACAAAACTTTGTTTCCCATACAAAATGAGAAACTCTGCAGGAAAGTACATAAACACAGACATGCTGATAGCCTATCAAAATGCAATGGACAAAATCACAGCAGCTGCGGCCAGCTTTGCACATAAGCGTCTGAGGCTGACACTACAAACAGATCACTTTGGAAAAGGCCAAGTGCCAGAGCTCTCTGCCAGTACATTTAAAAAGAAATAACTAACTAGCACAGCTGATAGACATAGACCTCCCAAGTCCTGTCGTCACTCCATAGTAAGAGTCATGCCATTTTAAAACTAAGTCTGGTTTTCTCTATGAAAAAAAAAATGAACGACAAACACATAACAAAACCATAAGTTTTGCAGCTGCGTTTTTGCCATGTGTACATTTTATCTCCTATTGTCGATGGATCCTCTGAATTATAAGGTTGTTAAGGTGTCAAAATGTAAATATTGCTACATGCAAGCCAACGCTGCTGTGCACTAAACTGACAGTGGAGGACATCAGACAACCTCACCAGAATTCCCCACACAAACCAGCAAGCTTTGACAAATGTGATGGTTACGTTGCTTTGGCAGTAGTAGCCTACGGGTCGGATAGCTGATGTTGGTATATAACAGTATTGAAGTTCAATACTAGTTACTTTCACGTGACATCATTTCAATGTACAGGAGTGTTTGCTTGCTTGTAGCATGAATGTAGCAATACTCATATTGTGACTACTAAATGACTTCGTAATTCAGAGAATCCAGTGACATTCAGAAAGAAAAGGTACACAGGGCAAAACATATTGGCTTTTGAACATTTTGTTTACCACAGGGCAGTGGTGTTGCTTTCCCATGATGTCAAATTTTTTCCACAGAGGAAAAATGCTAAGACCCAGAGTTATGGGCATGACAGACTAAAGAGTAACAACACAGCTTCAGAGGTCCGTGTGTTAATCAGCTGTGCTAGGTGTACAGTACTTTTGAGGGCTTCTAGTCATACATATACATACACACATATACACACACACACACATTCTAATCAATACCTGCCAGCTGGAAGAAGACTGTAGTCTTTGGTGGTCAGAAGTTGTTTTTCTGAAATGCAGGCACTGAGCCAAGTGCACTTCACCAGCTCTACCGCAGGAGGTAGCACTTCAATCTTCAGCAGCCTCAATGCCCGCTCTCGATCTACTGACTCGTCCACAACTACATGGGTGCAACTGGGACTAAAGGTAGCTTCCACCTGGCCCCCGTTTTGAACGATCTGTTGGTGGAATATGTCACACCGGGCTTTTCCAATGCCAGCAGGGACTATGTGGATGAAGACACCTTGAAACACATTTCCTGAAAGAACAAATCAGATACTGAAAAAACTACAGGCGCAACATTTTTGTTTCCTCCCAATATCAATTCCAATATCTGAACTTGGGGTTGATACTAAGTTCTTATCCAATACCAGTACTTTGTTAGGTTACTTGTGTTTCATAATAGCAAAGTACAAAGACATAAATATACAGATGAGATTAACGTACCATAGTGGAGACAGATTAACAGCAATGTTCTTTTAGGGCCTGAGCATTTTTTAATTATATTGTCCTACAAGATTAGTAAACTGCAGTGTTACATTTTTATAACAACAATGACTAATAAACAGCATGGAATGTGGACTGATCACATCTGATCTATCAGTTAAGGTAATGTTATTACTGGTGCCTAAACCAATCCAGTATAAGAGACTCTTGCATCACTAGAAGATACACAGGGTGGGAAGGTGGACCTATCAGATTTAAGGAGGTCCATCACTCCAAAATACAGTTCCACAGCCCAATACTGGGGGTTATAACCCCACTGTGTGCATGCAGTTGAATGTCTGATTTAATAAGTGCTCCCTAAAGTAGCTGAACTCACTAAGTAGGGTGTATGGATACTTCTGGACTGGACAGATCGTGTTCCTAACAGCAAAGTAATAACCTGTGCTTGAACAACAGGCTAAACACACTGCAGACTATGTGGGCATTTATTATGTAAAACATTACTTAGTAGTCACAACTAATGCACATGAGTAACGGAGAGTAAACAAAATATTAACAGAATATATACATAGAATATGTAAATTCTTATTTGGGTTTACTACAGCTTCATTCTTCAGTGGCATTTAAGAAAAAACAAAACAGCATTTAGTTTAGTCAGATGAACAGTATTACCAGTCACTGTTTGAGTCGAGGTTTTCTTAAGTGGAGGTGTCCCCTTTCCCTGAACGGGGGCTGAACGGGCCCTCTTCACCTTCGGAAAAGCTTTCATAATGCCGTGAGTCTCCATTTCGGAGAGTCCTCAGAGTTCCCAGAGGGAAAGCCCTACAAAACGAACATGTTTTCAGCGTGGAAAGACAGAGAAGTCTACAAAATTCTCCGAGGCAGAAACGGGGTAAGCTGGTAATGACAGTAATACTACGCGTATCTGCTTTCTTTGGCCGTGATTCCTTTCACATTTTCTAATTTTCGCTTTTTCTGTATTTATTCACCCCACAGTTAAGTTATACATTAACAACAAGCCTATTGAAAGCTAAACATGAGGAAATAACAACCAAAAAACACAAAAAACTACAGAAAACTCGACAAACCGACTCGACAAACCGACTCACCAAACCAACGCCAGACCTTTAAAAGGGTCACATCCGGGTCTCGCTGCTTTGTAGTCCAATCAGATTCGCAGATTTCGATTTGAAAAAAAAAGAAAGCAACAGCAAACTGATTTCGCTTATTTTAATTTTTATTCATACGGAGAAAAATACTAAAATTGTTGACTGAAAATACTATTTTTTGAAAAAATATGTTTGACGTAGTCTTTCTGTCTTTGGCCGTAGTCTCCGTTTCCATAGAAACCCGTGGCGTGGCTGTGTACGTTAGTCAGGCAACATGGCTGTTCAAAGCTGGTCGGATATCCTGAAGGCTGCTAAAAAAACGGCGTTAATCTCCGAAGGTGCGCGTGTGTTTTGTTATTTTGTGTGCTGTAAAATATTTCAGAACTTCTGGAACGGTAATATAATATGGTTTGTTTGTCGATATTGACCACAGAGTCACACGTGGCGTAAGTTACTGTGCATGCAGCGTGGAGGAATCGCACAAGGCGTTAGTTAATGTTAGCTAACTTACTGTCTAACAGAGTCACCTGTCTTTACAGGGAAAAGGAAAGTGCACTACCTGTTTTCAGATGGCAGTGAGATGGCTGAGGAATACGACATCAAAACCGATGAGCTTGTGTGTGAGTGTAACGTGCAAACGTTTTGCTTGAGCTTAACTTACTTCATCATGCTTACCAGGCCAAACCCTGCTGAAAAAAATCATTAGAACCATTAGGATTCAAGCTAAATGGTTTTTGTTTTCAAATGGGCATTGGCTTAATGGTTACCATTAGAGGCCACTAGTTTCTTGTAGAACACATTTAGATTCCATCAGGAAACCTAGCTAGCTAGCTTCCTCTAGGAAGCTGATTATCTTACTGCAGCTGTAAAACTGTAGCCACTGTCTACAAATCGTCACAGCATTGAGAGATTTGATTACTCAAATGATAGAAATGACTCGTCAGATGGGAAGAATAACAAACTAAAACTACTGTTAGCTGCTTGGGTGTTTAGATATTGAAGCTTAGTTTGCCTCATTTTCTTAGCAGAAGGGGTTAAAAACTTGTCTCAGTTATACATTTTGTGATAAATAAAGGTAGAATTAGTGTTTTCTTCATGATTTAGTTTGACAACCAAGGTAGAAGTTACATTAATGTGCACTTTGTGGTTTTTATGAGCTTGTAGGTCACTGGCCAGGCTAGCAGTCAGCATTGGTTGACACCACAGCAAGAGTTGTATAATGTATTTGCATAATGCACTCTGGCCATTGTACAGAAACATGAAAACAATATATAAAATTCTGAATTCTGTTGAACGGATAGGGCTGATGGATATAATGCTGTGATACAGAACACTACAAAGCACATTTAATAACATAATAAACTGTTTTAAACAAGTTTTGTCCAGAATACGCCATGTACCCATGTTTGCCCACGTTTTGTCCAGAATACCCATGTACCCGTGTTTGCCCACGTTTTGTCCAGAATACCCATGTACCCATGTTTGTTCACGTTTTGTCCAGAATACCCATGTAACAAAGTTCTTAATGTTTTTTTTTGTTTTGTTTTGTTTTGTGCGCAGGTCGAAAATTGCGCTCTAAAAACAAACTTGGCGGACAGGGACTGTGGCAAGTAGAAGTTGGTGAAACAAACACTGTGCCTTCCACAGAGGTTGAAATAAAAGAGAATAGCTCTAATGTAGGTTAAAAAAATATGCATATGATATTATACGTATGGGTCATTCTACAGAAACGTCCATTTCTGTGTCCCTAGCGGTTTACAGATATATTACACTTGAACGACATGTTAGGGTTACAATTTATTGATATTTTAAAATAAAACAATAAGTAATTTTAACAGTAACACCTTCTTGAGCCATTAAATTAGCAATATTGGTTTTTAAATCATTTATATAGAATTCCAAACACCACAGAAGTGCTTGTCCCCACAGTCAGGTGTAAAGGCTGAGGCCATATTTTTAAGAAAAAAACACTTTTCTGCAATTTTAACTACAATAATCTATACATGACTATGGAATATATCAATTAAATGACATACAGAAAACAAATGGTAAATAAATATTATAAAATATATAATGAAAGTGGTTTTCCCCAGGAGTCGTGTCACTGGTGTTACCGCGTAACAAAAACTCTTTTATTTTGAAATAAAAATCACACTGATGACATCACTTGACTTCCTTTTGCCTATTTTCTGAGGATCTATGAAAAAAGCATGTGGTAAGTCCACTGTGTCTTTTCAGTTATCAGAGATTTTCTTATTTAGCTCATGATTTCATATGAAGCTGTTAGTTGACGTCACTGGCGTGACCGACTTTATTCTGAGGTAATTGTGAAAAAATAGAACACAAATGGATTAAATTACATATTTTAGTGGATATTCCATGATTGACAACATGTGGTTTGATGGTCTGTAGCAGCCATTTTGTAAAATGCATTTTTCAACAAAAATGTCACTGGTGTTACTGTCTCTGGTGTTACCTTTCTTATGTGTAACACCAATGAGGATAGGTGACACCTATGGATAGGTAGAAAAGTGGACGTTTCTGTAGAATGACCCAAATATATATTTTCAATAACTTTTATTTTAACTTTATTTTTAATTTGTCCCACCTGCCTAATAGACTGTTTAATGTCCTTTTGTTCTGATCTCTGCAGCCTGTGTTTCTGCGTAAAGACACACAGTCCAGTTTCCAGTGGAGGGTCCGTAACATCCCGTACCCCATAGACACCTATAACATTTCAGTGGAGCCTGCTGAACGATGCTGCATCATCCGCACCACAAATAAAAAGTAACTCCGCTCTTTCATCTTGAGCTCATTTCAGGATTATACATCTATACCTTGTCTGAATGTTGTGTGTCCACTGCTATCTGCATTTGCTCTTTTATTCATTTATAATGCGTTTAAACTGGGTTTCAGTGCATTTAATTATTTTCTTCATATGATTTCTCAAAGCTTTGCATTCACATCCAAATCCTAATCTGGGGAATATTTCACAAAGCAGGACTTTTCAGTTATTCAGATAACTTAAAGGGGCCATATCCTATATTTGTCTTGAATTTATTTTTTAATTATCCCACTTATGATCCACTCATGTGGGTTTATATACTAAAATAATCATAGTTCATTTTTGCATGACTGTTTCTAACCTGTCTTTATCTCTTAGACTTAAATAGGCTGTTTTGCTCACTGTGCCTTTAAAGAGCTCATATCCTATATTTTATTGTATTTTCTTACCTCAAAGGTCCATTAAAACTTATTATGCACTAAAAATTTTACATGACTGGAGGGTGAATGGTATGTTTTGAGACCTTAACTATGTTTACATTTTAGTTCAAACTCCTTTATTTCAAAAAAGCAAGCAAAATTTGGTTTTACATGATATGGGCCCTTTAGGACAACATATGTAAATTGCTTCTGTCCTGATTGGCTACCATGAATTGAGCCTCAGTTCAATGAACAGACTGGACTGAAACACTTTATAACTTAAGCATGAATGGGTGGGGCTAAACTGCTGCAGGCTGAATAGGCAAATATCTGTAAATGTGCTGGTATTTGTGACATCACAACAACAATAACTTTCATATATGGACTGTATGGACTGGAGAGTGAATGGTATGTTTGAAAAATTATTAATGTTTGCATTGAACATACAAAACAAAAGTGAAGACATTTTAGTTTGTGATGGAAGGGACCTCCTATTGGTCGGTTTTCACGTTGGGTTTATGTTTTCCAGCTTTACACAATCCCATCCAGCCTGTTAAAGTATTTTAATTTTATATTAATATTAGCCTGTTTCACAATGCCCTGAACTACAGTCCCCAGCATGCACTGCAATGTTGTGTGCTCTGACTCTCCTACCCCAACAACAATTCTACACAATCCCACACCAGTCATATCACCGATATGCATTTCAACCAACATAAACACCTAACATTAGTTCAAGTTGAGCCCAAGTCTTAGTGAACTTGCAGCAAAGAAAGGATGCCAGGTTTTATATCAAGTTATAGCACAACAGTAAAAATGAAACAAAAACTTTTTTTCTCTGGACAACAGATTTGTTGAGCTTTTTTAAATGGCCCCTTAAGTGGTTGAGCTTGGCGCCCCTGGCCTATAGCATGTAGTTACAGAAAGCGTCCTATAGGTGTCGCTGTTGCCATAAGCAAAGGTTTGAGGACTTGCCATGACTAACATTCTCCTTTATCCGTCTCCTGGTTTCCCAGGTACTATAAGAAGTTCAATATTCCAGACCTTGACCGCTGCCAGCTGCCTCTGGAGAGCACGGCCTTGAGCTTCAGCCACGCCAACAACACTTTAATCATCAGCGTAAGTTAAAGGCCCCCACCTTACAACTCACTTAATCATTCTCTGTGTAATCCCTGAACACTTTGTATATTGTTTTTATCTTGCTTTGATATTGAAAAAGTGGCCTCAGGCTGAGTGTAAATAAGCCTATGAAAATATTTTTTTCTTGTTTCCCTTTAAATCTGTTAAATTCTCTGGAGAATTCTTTTACAACTTCCAATAATTTGTACATAGAACAGAGCAGCATTGGGCTAATTATATGTTAGAGCTAGTCTCTGATCCGAAACCAAAGGGCAACAGGTACAAAAACCCATCTTATTTTCGAATGAGCCTGACTGGATCTGCTTTCACTTCATTTGTAGTAGTGTTCACTGCTTTCATAAGCATTTCTTTCACTTCTTTCGTAGTATAAGAAGCCCAAAGAGATTTTAACCCTGGAACAGGAGCTGCTGAGGGAATTGAAGAAACTGAAGGGGACAAATGAAGGAGACATTGACTGTAAAACCCAGTGAACTGGTGTGGACTCTTGACTTGCTGTTCATAACTCCTCTATGCAGGACTTGTGCAGTTCACTATTTTGTAAAACCATTTTTTGTACATGAAGATAAAGCATGTGTGTCTGACTGTATATAGACTTTTGTTTTCTTGGTGTTATCTTGTTTCAAAGTTAAAAGGATTTTGATGTGTAAAGGAATGTTTTGAAT